GTGTGTGTGTGTGTGTGTGTGTGTGTGTGTGTGTGTGTGTGTGTGTAGGTATTAGGTATAATGTGTGTGTATTAGGATTAAGATATTAGTTATTGGTCATAAATCAAATTGTTATCATAATAAATGTGGCATCTTTGTCTTGACCCCTAAAACGATCCTGTATAAGTTTGTGGGACAACAGTCCAACAGACTTCCTCCAGTGAGAGGCATCCGTCAGCTCCTTCGTTAACAGTCACCGACACAGCCAGATATGTCTGACCTGTGACACTCATGCCCAGCTCCCCTGTTCAGGTCTGACAGACACAGCCCCCTGCATGGCTTTCCTCTTCCACTGCACTAATTCTCCTTCCAGTCCCTCTCTCGACATCCATACCCAGCTCCTTGGCTTCTCTTGCCAGACAGATTTCAACACCGTTCACAGCAGAAGCAGGTGCACTGCGAACCATTGCACATACCACCAGCTGCACTCCTCACTGACGGAGCCAGCTACACCGCTTCCCCCTTAGAACAGCCGACCGTCTCTGATTCACAACCTGACCAGAGTTGGGCCTAGCGGTGCTGCTCATCATTCAGAAGCCGCAAAGAGCCGTATTTTCTTACACTTCTGTCTTACTGTCATCTTGAAAATTACAGACAACTCAATTGCTTATCCACTAACAGATGACGCTAGTTCCCTTCCCTTCAGGTAACGCAGACAACTTCTCTGCTCTGCAGGCAAAGGTCACAGGTTCCTTTACTCCTGATCCAGTCCCACCTGCACCACACCTTCAAAAGACAAGCCTGGGAGCTTAAATTCATAACTCTGTTAGACACTAAAAATCACGGGCTTAATAAAGATCTTGTGTTTATGGCTGAGTCCAACAATCTGTAACCCACTAACCTCTGCGTCTTTGTCCTATGACTTAGAGATGTTAACCGGCCAGTTCACCTTCAATGGTCTCTTAGAACAGTTCTCAAAATGGGGATCGTGGCCCTTCAGGAGGTCACAAGGTTATTACATGGGGGGTCCCGAGCTGTCAGCCTCCACCCCAAACCCCACTTTATTACTGACAATAGAACTGAGGAAATTGTTTAAATCTCACAGGATAAAAGTGGCTGTTTCCTTTTCCTTAACAAGAAGGACAAGATGCTTTTCAGCCGCTTTGGCAACGTGGCTGCATTATTCTTAAATACAGCGTCTGCGTCTAGCCTCTCCTGGCAGATGAGAACAGACGTACGTCCCTCACCTGAAGGCAGAACCAGATCCATTGTCACTATTAAGAGGCCTCACAGCATTGCAGTGGGAAACAATCAGCATCTCTTCTTTCTTTGACCGGTCCAAACATCTTTGCGAAGTACAAATAAATAATGAGCTACAGTAACCAACTGCAAAGCAAAGAGCCAGGCTAATGCCAGAGGCACGGACTCACACATTGTGCCCAAAGACACTGGTCAGAACCGGCTGCATCTCCTCAGCTGGGCCTCCGGGTCACCAGGTCACCAGGTCACCGGTCGCTGGGGTATCCATCCTCCCGGCCATCGGCTGGGTCACCACGTCCTCTCCCCGGTCCTCTGCAAAACATACTCCCTCTCCCCTCACCTCGTTAAACCAGTAACACCCAGGGAAACTGAGTCCCACCCCCTCCGCATGCAAACCATTGGAAACAACAAGAAAAAAACAAGAAAACCCCCCACTGTCACACTCGCTCACCCCCACCCTTGCTCATTTTCCCCGGGCTGGGCAGGGGATTGGTGTGTGGGAGGGGGTGAGGGCTCCGGGGTGGGGGTTGGGGCCAATGGGTTCAGAGTGTGGGAGGGGGCTCCGAGCTGAGCAGCGCGGTTAGGGTTTGGGAGAGGGTGTGGGCTGTGGGCTGGGGGTGCAGGCTCTGGGGTGGGGCCAGAAGTGAGGGGTTCAGGGTGAGGGCTCTAGGCTGTGGCAGGGGGTTGGGGTGTGGGAGGCAGTTCGGGGTGCAAGCTCTGGGTGGTGCTTACCTCAGGCAGCTCCTGGAAGCAGGCGGCATGTCCCTCCGGCTCCTCGGCAGAGGCGCAGCCAGGCTGGCACTTGGGGTGGGAGCAGCACGTGGAGCCTCCGTGGCCACCCCTGCACCTAGGAGCCAGACAGGTTGGTTGCTTTCCGGAGCCGCACGGAGCCAAGACAGGCAGGGAACCTGCCTCAGTCCTGTGTGACGAAGTGGGGGATTTTCTTGTTTTTCCAATGGTTTGCATGCAGGGTGGGTGGGACTCAGTTTCCCTGGGTGTTACTGGTTTAACGAGGTGAGATGAGGGGAGAGGGAGTTTGTTGTTACAGAGAACCGGAGAGGGAACTTGGGACCACAGCCGATGGCCGGAAGGATGGATACCCCAGCGACCAGTGACCTGAGACCCTGACCCGGAGGCCCAGCTGAGGAGACGCAGCCGGTTCTGGCCAGTGGGAGGACAATGGGCTGCGGGGAGAGGACCCCAGTGACCTGACCAGCCCATTCCAGCCCGAGGGGCCAGAGGAGGGCGGAGAGGACAGGAGGCCCCGGTTTACGACCCTGTTTCTCTGGAGAGAAGACAATGGACAGAGGCGGGGCCTGGGGCCGGGGATCTCAGATGCCCAGCTGGGAGCAGGGGGGCTCTGGGCTGGAGAGGGGGAGCAGGCAGAGCCCACCTGGATGCAGAGAGACTGAGATGTGCTGGGCTGAGGGAGGCCAGGCCTGAGGCCGGAGAGTTTCCTGTGCTGTGTTCAACCCTCAATAAACCCTCCTGTGTTACGCTGGCTGAGAGTCGCTCTGGGCTAGAGAACAGGGCGGGGGAGGCATCAACCCCTTTTGGGGGGGTGGAGGCCCCGGGGGTCCAAAGTGAGGGGACTCCCCGAGGGGTCCCATGGCGAGAGACCGTTCTCCCCCATGCAACATCCCCCTCCCCACATCTGCCAGGGCTAGTCCCCCCCTCAAAAGAGCAGTGGCGGGGTGGGGGGGCTGGAGACGCCTTCGCTACAGAGTCCGTCTCGAGTTCCCCTGACATTGCAGCAACCGGATTGCTACACACACACACACACACTCACGTGTCTGGGCGGGGGCAAGGGGAGGAGCAGGTGAGTCCCCCCCCCCCGGGGGCAGGCAGGGCTGTCAGGAAGGGGGGGGCACGATGCCAAAGGGGCCGCACCCCCTGCCCAGTACCTGCGCTGGGCCGGGCAAGGGAGGTGCTTCGTGCCAGCTCCGCTCCCTCCCCCACTTCCCCCATCTCTGCCCAGCTCCCGGCGGGTCCCGCAGCAGCGACGGGCGATGGGGCGAATCCCTCACAGACCGGGCGGCCCTTGGACGGGGATTCTCCTGGCAGGTCAGAGGGGAGAACGTGGGACCCAGGTGTCCGGGACACAAAGGCCTCCAATAGGAGCCCATGTCAATGAAAGCCGAGGGGCTGCGGGTCGGGACTGAGGGGCACCGGCAGAGCTGGGTGGGGGGACCCCAGGGCTGGGGTAGCAGGAGGGGGGCTCTGACGCTTCCTTCCCCAGGCTGGTCCCATCCCCAGGCTCCCCTGAGCCTGCGCCCCAAAGCCCCGGGGACCCCATAGAAGCCTCATTGTTCCCCCCAGCTTCTACTTTGCATGGGGGGATTAGCGGGGATCAGCTGTTTGTGTCTCTGTCCCAGAGCATTGGGGGGGACACCCCTAGACACCCCCTCACTGAACTCCCTCCCCCAGATCTAGCAGGCGGAACCAGGCCCACGCAGAGACCCAGGGACCTGGCACCCCACAACGGGCGGGGGGAAAAGGGAGAAGACTCTTTTCCCCCCCCCCCCCCCCCCCCCCCCCC